TTAATGTGACATGGTGGTTTTTCTTTATGGTACTGCAAAAATGAACCCATTTGTAAAAATCCCTGAGTACGATTTAGCGATTTAGCACGTCACAAAACCTCTGCTAATTATTTATTCTGATGACTTTTTTTTTATTGAAACCTATGAAATGTAGAATCGTTGTGGTGTTAAAATAACATGAGCCTAAAAAACAGAAACCTTTTTATAAATAGTGGTTGATTTTATTATTTCCATTCTTAATTCTCATATGCATATATAGCTTCTTTTACCTTCTTATGACATTTTACTATATCCCAACCAAACTATTAATATATCAAACGAAGAGACGAAGATTCCATACTGTGCATTTTTTTTTTTATTTTTGAAAAAAGTGATTTATAAATAGTCCTTATCATTATAAGGTTGTCAGTCCTAAAACTGGTTGGACACGTACCTCCACTCATTCCTACCCTGAGCTAAACTTCGCATTTCCCTAAAACTAGAACAATCCACGCGAACAGTAATCTAATCTAGATCTACCTCTACCCCTCCTAACTGCTGTTTCTGCCTCTAATATGTCTCTGACTAGACCTTCATGCCTGAGAAGGCGCCCTACCAACCTATCTCGCCTATTTCTTATTGACTTCTATTTCTTATTGACTTCTATAGAGTCTCTGTTCTCCTATTCTTTCTAATATCTCTTCAATTCTAACCTTTTCTGTCCACGTTATCCATTCGCCTATAACACCACATTTCGAACTCAAAAAAGGAGAATAAAAAAAATTCTATCCAAAAGTGGCATGTGATGAGTCATGAAATTATTATTAACCAGTAGATAAAAAATAATAGACTAAATTGAGCAAGATTTTCGATGAGTAGTAAGAGGTAGCTTTTCACCAATGTAAGATCTTGATGATCAATTCTTGTCTTGTCTTGAAAATCAAGGTCAAGAAGTTAATTTTTCTTATCCTGAACGTTCTCTTGGTCATAATTTCTTATCTTGACTCAAAGGTCTCGATATTTTGCAGAGCAGATAAGAGACGTACGCTATTAACAGGGAAATAGTAATTAGTTGGGGTAGGTATTGCATTAATTGGGCAAGTATGCATCACATCGGACGCCATTTAAACGAAGGCGTGAGAAGGCTTTATTAAATCGCAACGTGAGTATCATTGGATAACCGGCCATTAATAGTCAGCCTGACAATATTTGCATGAATAACCTCGGAAACGTTTACAGTGTCGTGCTTATTGCTAGTAAATTATAGCGAGGAACGAAACGTAGGGGATCAATTTCATGTAGGTAGACATTGTATTGCTAATATGCCGCAGAAAAGTTGACAACTGCATTTCCCTTCCCTTACAACTAGGAGAACAAAACAAATAAAACCACCTTATGTACCGAATAAAATATGCTTTTATAAACGATAGTCCTTATGTTTACATTATAAAAATTTAAAACCTTCGGAATAGTGTTGCCCAAATTCAGTCTTGGTCTTGCAGTCTTGGTCTTGTTCTTGCGTTTTTGCAAGACCAAGACCAAGAACAAGACCGCGTATTTTTAGCAAGACCAAGACCAAGACTGACCGTGCAAGACTTGAGCAAGAACAAGACATAGCCTGCAAGACTCTTGCGTCTTGCAGCTAGGACTTAGCGCTATTTCACTGAGTAGTTAGGTGTAACAGTTCGGTGTATAGGTAGGTACGCTTAGGAATTCTATGAGACGCAAAAAACTGTATCAAAGAATATGAAAAACTGGACCTATGCGCATTACGACTAATACCATAAACATAGCGAATAAAAAAATTATTAAAATCAAACTGAGTGCATGCATAGTTATGTTTTAACCATCGGCACTTTGATAATGCGGCATCAAAGGTTTTGTACTTACTTCTCAAAGAAATTTGCCGCTTTTCGGAAGTACATGGTTATGATACACGCGCCGGCGGCTTCTTTTGAAATCTAAAACAATCGTTGCCGCCACGCCGAAATCATAACATTTGACACTATTTGATTGCCGCCATAGGGTGTAGGTATACTCATGCAAAATAATTTCGAATTTTTTTACACGCTTTATATTATTGTTTGATTTGCGGCGGCATCCTTATCATAGAGCCGGCACGTGGCGAGGCGGCGCGGTAGAAAGCAAGGATCATAAATGTTTATTAAGAAACAGTTACTTCCATGGAAAACGACATATAGGTCAGTTGATTTTTCGAATTTCTTATCAAATCTTCAGTTATTTATTAATCTGCTTGATCTTTACTATGGCTATATTCATTCAAGCTCACAATGTTCCAATTCTAATACGTTTTTCTAGGATTTAAAGTAAACTTTAATAAATAGTAATAGACTAATAGGTAATTGCAAGACTTGCAAGACTCTTGCTGCAAGACCAAGACCAAGACCAAGACTGGGAGCGCAAGACCAAGACCAAGACCAAGACCAGGTGTATTGGCGCAAGACCAAGACCAAGACTGGCTAAGTCTCGTCTTGTTCTTGCGTTTGGGCAACACTACTTCGGAAAGTTTTTAATAATTTAATGTTATTGTTTGTAGGTTTGTCTGAGAAAAATAATGGTTTAAATAGCGTTCTCAAGGTAGTTATAGTAAGTTGCTAAAAAAAGTCGTTATTTTATATCATACAGTAATTGGTCAAATATCTATACCTTACAGTAATATCTAACCATATTAGTTTTTGTCCATGAAAATATTGCTAGACTAATCATATTTGTAAGTGCATATGTGGACAGACAAAATTGGTCTACGGTCGCCTCCTACGTTTTCTTTCCTATCAACCGGTAGGTAAAGCAAAATGACTGCATTTACATAATAGCGTATTAAGTGACCATAACTTAAGCGAAGCCGAAGTGGCTAACGACTGTAATAACACATTCAAGTGTTACGATGATTTACACATGTCGACATTTTAATTTTCATGCTAGTGAAAAGATGAGACGAGATACCTTAAGTATTCCTGATTTATTGTTTCGTAGTCACGGTACGTAGTAGATAATATATTAGAAAAGAATTTTGTAAATTTACCATTGACTTTAAACGGATGTTTAATATTAATGTGTTTGTTAGAGCAAGACTTACAGATAAACTTTGACTTCTCATTTCAAATGATAATTCGAATCCGATTATGGTAAAATGTGAAGGATAAAAATCGAATCCGGATAATGTTCCAAAAAAATGTATTAATTCGAAAAACATTTATTGATTTCAAAGAAATACAAAAAAACTGAATGAAAGTGTTTGAAAATCTAAGTCCTGTTTTTACTAAAATTAGTGTAGTATTACCAGATATTTCTATAAATATGAATGAAAATTTCTGAACAATGTGCACAATCTCTTTTTATTAATGATTGCTAACAGGTTGAATCTTCGTGACTAGATTGGTTTTGACGAGACACCCTATTTTTCTCTTCAAAAACTGCTGATAGAAGTAGCTAAAATCGTGCCGAATTGGTGATGGTGGAAATTTTGTTACTAACCGCTTAGTTTGTAGTTTAATCTCGAGATAATAAATAAAATAATGTAAGTCCTTCAATATAAATGGTTTGATTCAAGCTGCCCCCTCCAAATAATGATGTGATAAGACGTTTCTAGAGCTCTTAGTAAATATTAGTATAATGAAATGGTCGCATTGCCCTACAAATAAAATAGTAACATATCCCAGTAGTATGATCGGAAATGATCACATTTTTTTATTACAACTGTAAGATAAGGATAACACAATATTAAGTTAGCATGTTTGTCCATAAAATAGTATCCTAGAAAAAATTCTTTCAATAGTGACCTTAGAAATTTTTATTTTTCTCTTTTCTTGCTTTTCTCTGAACCATAATGAAATAGGGGACACGTTTCGTTTCAAAAATTTTTTAGAAAAGCTAAGTTTGGTGACAATGACCATATTCCCTCCTGTTTGGGCTACGCCGTTTATCTAAGTACATTAATATATTATTTACACACATTCGCATATTTGCCTGTGGGTGTATATTCTTCAATATACTTAGCTCATGTTTTATGAAATTTTAAACCCCAGTCGTGCTACAAATTTGAAGATTAATAATAATGATTGTTTTTTGAAGCGAAGCTTTTATATAGACGCTCGCCTATAGGCGTTCGCCGCGCGGCCACTCTATCCGTGCTAAGCGTCAGATTTTCCGTTACACGAGAGCGTCAGATTTAGACCGTTACACGATATATATACTTTTACTACTTGAAGGGTATAAAAAAATAACAGTCCCATTTAGAGACGCCCGAATGAAGCGAAGCTTTATATTATAATGCGTAGGAACTAAGCGTTAAAAAAAAACGTGAGGGAAAAGAAAAGCCTTGAGAAAATAAAAAAAAACTGAATACTTGGGAAAATAAAAATGAATACATTTGAGCGTAATTCGCTACACATCATCTCGTTAGCTCAGGATGAACCAATGGACTAGTATTGTCAAATTAAAAACCCTTGTTGCGTTAAAGCTTTGTATTTTCCAAAACACAACACTATGTACAAAAACTTAATGTATAAAACCTTAACCTACACATAACCTTGTTTATGTGCAGATTTCCCAAAATTATATTCCTTGAATTACAAACCCGATACGAGAGCGCCTACTCGTCATGAAAGAAGCAAAAGTACTTCTCTTTCTGAAATTCTTTCCGAAAAACTGCCTGCCTCCTCCTTGAACCTTTTTTTATTGCCACTTGTTTTCAAGTTTCGATCTGCCGGCTTGTGTGTGAA